TCTCTCTCTCTCTCTCTCTCTCTCTCTCTCTCTCTCTCTCTCTCTCTCTCCCTCTCTCCCTCTCTCTTTGCAAATTAAGGTAACTTCACTGTAACTCACTTTGTCACAGTTTTTTGTTTCTTGGGTTCAGATATTATTATTATTATTAATATTATTATTATTGATATTGCAGGCACACAGTTGTCGTGAGTTTGTGTATAAACTTTTCATTTTAATGTTGCCTTTGTTTCTTTTCACTCTTGTTAGAAAAATAAAGGTTTAGAATTGTTTAGGATACGTTGACTCTTTATTTCTCACCCCTTTTCTATCATTCAGTGAACTAACAACCCATGAGGAAGTCGCACATTTTGTTAATAATACCAAGTACTTTTTAATGCAGAATGAGGCTGTTTAGCAGAGAGTGAAGGCTACGTCTGGCAAAGTAGAAAACAAATAAGTCTGCACACCGAGCAGCAGAAGGATTTTAATGCAGAGAGATGTTTCAAGCCCATGGCTCTCCCTCAGACTTAAGACTTCCTGAGATTATCCTGTAAGATTCTGTGAGAAGTGTATAACTTGAACAATAACCTAAACTTTTTTAAAAAAGCATTCATTTAGTTTTCTTCACAGAAATGAACAAAATGCAGATACGTAGATGAGTAGACAAAATTATTTACGTAGATTTTTTTTGAAGCCTTGCAAGCCCCCATGAAGCTTTGGTGACCCATAGAGGAGGCCAGGACCCCCAGGTTGGGAACCAGTGCTTCACAGGGTTTCAAAAGTCAATTAATTCCTGGGAAGGTTATGAAATTAGAAAAACTTATGCATGCCCGGAAATTGTTTGGAAAATTTCCAGAATGGGAAATTTTTAGATACACATGGTTTTGTTTATTCTTTAAAATATGTCAATAAAAATCGCCAAATGTCTAACATTAAGCAAAATATGTTACTTTTATTACTAATTTAAAATGTTGTGCCACATTGAGTGACCAGTTTCATGTGCAAACGACTCACACAACGTGAGGTCGTATTTATTTTTAGACGTATGACAATTTTGGACAAAAAAAAAAACGATCACAGTGTGCTGAGGCCTTTAGGGCCCGTCATAATAGTGTAAAGCAGCTACCTGTTGAAGCCGGTAGGAGGTGCTGTTGTGCTGTCTATTTCGCAGCAAATGTGGCAGTTCACACTGTTTGTCCCTGGCAGGACGCCGTAAATGTTGAGATTTGCTCGGGTTTTAGAACAAAGTAACATTTCTCTTGCCCTACAGGTAAGCATTGTAACAGCGTTACATTGCATTATATCACTTAATGTTTATTAACACTTCAGGCTACAGTCCGCCACAGTTTGGAGTACAAATTAAACGTGTTTTTAACTATTTGAGATGTTATTGTGGTGAGGCTGCAAGTGTGGCTAGCGTGCTTAAATGAGTAGCGGATTATACTTCTGCGTCAAACCGACGCCATACAGACGGCGTGGGCTCTGCAGGCCTGTTTATTTCTGTAAGCTGAAACCATTTCCCTCAGTGGAAACTTTTATTTACATTAATTTCACAGATAAGAAACAATAAATTATGTAGATAATAAGTCGTCCAAAAAAAAAAATAGCATTTTAAGTCTTGTGTGTGATTTATCCTGGCTTCATATGAGCAGAGGAAATCTCTGCTATTCGCTAGGCTAATTTATACAATGTAAAATGCCATAGGCTTGTGCTAATAATGTTAGCATGTTGTATTTGTTTGGAAAACGTGTTTAGTATAAGACAGTTGTTTTGTCAGTGAACCTTGAGAGATGTAACGGAGCCAAATTTTGTAACGTTACCTTTGTTAAATGTTGCTGTTGTCCCTGGCTTCATATGAGTCGAGGGAGGTCCGCTTGCTACTAGGCTAATATATACAATGTAAAATGCCATAGGCTTGTGCTAAAAACATTCGTTATATTTGTGGGGAAAATGTGTCCAGATAAAGACAAGTGTTTGTCTGTGAATGCTGCGAGTCATAGTGAAGCTGATTTGTGTACTTGTGTTTGAAATTCTCTCTTAAGCCATGTTTAATGTGTGTTTAAAGTGTGTTTTGAATCAACTAAACTTAACAGCACTTCACAGAAACGTCCGCCACTACCTAGTGTTTTGGAGGTGTAACTGCAGAGTGACACAGACACTCGACCACACTATTAGCTATATAAGCTAACAACAGCGTAGGCCACATGCGTAGGCTATGGCATAGGCTCTGCCACACAAGTATAAATCCCCCATAAGCCTGGCGAGACCAAGCATTAGCTTTTCTGTTAACTGTTAAGCTTATTTGAGAATGTATGTTTTATGTTGGTAATTTATTCATTTCAGAGAGTCGTATTTAGTTTAACTTGACAGTTATGTTTATATTCATTTATGCATTATTTGCATGTATGTATTATCCTTCTGCCTCTGCGTGTTTCAATAGCATGCCCTGGGGCCCATTGTAACTACCTTACGCCACTGGTGGGAACCCTGGCATTAGTCCTGAGATCAATAATGGATAATAAAAATCAGCAGCAGTAACATACTACCAAAATTAGTTTCATGATCACAGCGTTTATTTAGAAAAGCTTTCACTGTAAAATGGCAGACACAGAACGGACATCACAATATTGAACAAGTACACCATGTTTCCTTTAACTATGCTAGAGTTTGAAGCAAGTTCATAGAAAGACACATCCACAGTTACAGTATGTTAAAGGCTTTTCACACATGAAAAAAAATCAATCTGCCTCAATATCAAACATGCATGTAAGCCAAATGAAAAATCAGCTTTTGTTCACAGGGTTTTATAAACACCCCCCTCTTGGCTGTTATTGTCATTATAGGTACTTCCGCTGGGTAATTATCCAGAGGCTAGTTCTGAGAGCACATAATTAAAAGTGAAGTTTGGGAATGACACATCTGACAGGAAACATGTAGAAAAATCTGCTGTGAATGTAGCTGCAGACCCAATTAACAGAGTGTTTTTTGTAGCTAAGAATAGTCTTTAATTGCAATGAAATAGCCTTGTTCACAGTCAGTACTGAATTAATTATATTGCATACAGACCAAAACTTATTGGTCTGAAAAAAGCATTTTGCATTTGTGAAACAGCAAATGAGGAAAATGATACTTTATTCACTTAAATGGCAAATGTGCCTCTTTGAATGAAACATTAAATGTTTTCTGTGCTTTGTTCGACATGATGTGCTTCTCTTTAAAAACAAAACCTGTTAGTTGCTCTGTGCTTCAGTGTTTACCTTCTCTGCTACAGCGTTTAAGCCTTTTTGTACCACTTTGAAAATTGTGCTATACAGTCAAAGTCTGCCTGAAAAGAAGGCACCGCTCAGCTCCTCATTATCAAAAAGCATCTGGTCTGATGTTGCATCTCCTGTATCAGAACAAAGGAGCATTTGTACGTTAACACTACAAGAATAAAAAAAAGTAACTACATTAACTGGCACACAATGTTATTCTGAAAATGTGCTTGAACAGAAGTCCTCATGGACATTAAATATACAGCTTCATGGCACAGAAGTGGCTTTTTCTCTTAATGTTTTCACAGCTGCATGGTTCTGAGCCCCACTTTTGATTTTCTCTTTTCTGTCCTCCATGAAAATGTAGAGGCCTGCGAAGATTACCAGCATGCACCACTCCTCTAATGGAGAAACAGCAGGTGGTGCCATCTCTCCTTTATGTAAGAAGACAGATCTGGAGTGGGGGTGTATTTTTAAATGGACTCCCTCTGAATATGTAATCTTCCTGTCTGTAAAGGCCCTGACACACCAGGCTGACTGTCAGTCGACGGCCATCAGTGAGCATCTGTCGCCATAGATTTTGTAGTGTGTCCTGCGCCACTGGATCTGTTCAGCCCTTGTTGACGGCTTTTTGGCTGATTCAGCATGTTGAATTGGTGGCAGAGCCAGTTGGTGAGAGAAGCTCAGTGCACAAGAGAAGAAACAGGAATGAGGAAAGAAAAAAAAGATCAAAACAAACTCGCTGTATTAGATAAGATTATGTTTTTAGCCACTGAGCTCTTTCGCAGATATAGTTCGTAAGTGTTTGTGTTATTGTTCGGTCTCCCAGTTTCCTTTGTTTAATGACAATTATAGACCAGGGATTTATAAAGAGAACTGGACACAGCGTTGGAGGTGAGAACCTGTTCATTCCTAAGAAAGCTGCTCAGTGGCTTGTGAAGCTAAAAATGTTCAACTGCTGCATATAAAATTACCCGAATGATCAGCACTGCTTTTGCATCTTCGGAGACATGTAAAGCCCCAGCTACATTCTGTTTGTAGCCTACACGACAGGCCCCTACAAACTGTGCCCACCACCAGTGCGAGGCAAACCCTCTAACAAGACGGTTGTTTGAACCTCGCTACAACGCAACATTGTAGTGAATTAATAGGCTGAACATAGCAGTAATCTACTTTATTAATTTACTATGTTCATTATATGAAGGGGCCATGATTCACCTTATAAGGAATGACATGTAACCCTTAACCTAACTATAATCTTAACCTTCATCGCCTCTCTTTTAACCTAAAACTTCATAGCTTGCTAAATGTTTATTTAGCATTGTCTTGGGGACTTCCACTTCCGGACTAAGGAGCAAAGGGGGCTGAACCTAAATATGGTGGGCGAGTCATGTATCTTGTAGGTGGGTCACATAGCTGCTTCAGCTGCAGCCATTCATACTTGTATCATTGAGCCCACACAGCAAGCGCAAGAGACTTTCACTGGCCAAGCTACTTATGGTTTAGCTCTCCGCGAACTTGAATGGGGATAAAATGATTTAATCGTGCAGCTCTTCTAGACTTTACAAATGTTATCAGACCGAATGGATCAAATTCTGATAGTGAAACGAATCATTTAGCATAGGATTTGCCGCTCAAAAAAAAATCATACACTGGTTTACAACCTTTCTTTCAGAATGTAAGTCTATGGGAAAAAGTATTTTTGGCCCCAACTGAATCGTGAGGGACTCGGATGTTGTAAGTCCACAGTTTGGCCGCTACAAAATTGGCTTCAAAGCCCAGTGCACTTCCAGTGGACCTGATACAGACTACCGCCACCTGCGTACCTATGTGCTAGTTGGCCATTGGCTGTAGTATTTGCGGTTTGCTCAAGTGCAACTTTTTAGCTGAGACACAGACGATGTGAGGCAATGCAACAGTCAACCTTATGATGTCGGTTTGGTGTGTCTGGGCCTTTAGACTGTCCACTTGTCCACCCTTCTTTTTCGCCTTGTGCATTGACAGTGATGTCCAAAATTAAATCTGACAAGCTAGTACAGACTTCTGTGCAGGATACAATGGATCACGCTCTACACATGTGAGAGGTAAAGCATCATGAAAATGGCTTGAAAGCGTTTTTCCTGGCTGGTTTCGGTCCATTTAACCAGATGAATTGGAAGTGGGGTTAAGTGTATTGTTTATTGTGAAGTTTATGACTGCTGTAAATCTGCATTTGTGATAATGGAAGGCTGAATGTCAAAATGCAGCTTCAATACAACAGTATTGTGAAAGTGTGTAGGCTACTGTCTTCCTGTTTGGGACGATACATAATGTTATCAGACACACAAACCCTGTCAGTCTCAGTCATGAGCTTTCCTCCAATCTGAACATTTTAGGTTGGGGCATTTAAGCAGTGGTGTAGTGGAGGGTATCACAGGCTCATGGGGGATACCAGCCTCTTTTTCTGGCAGATAACAGTATATCCACTTAACACCCAAAAAGCCTTTGGAGTACATAGAAGAGTATCCCCACTTCCTCCTTGGTAACCAACCTGTCTACTTAGTAGTACACCCACCTCATCAACCACCACTACACCACTGCATTTAAGGTATGCTACTTAATATTACCCCCACAGACTTTGTGTTTCAGAGTGCTGCTGCATCCCTGCAGACAGATATTTGTGCCAAGGTGTGAAGCAGCTTCTGTTCGTCCTATCAAAACACTTTGGCACTTTTTTTTATCCCTCCCTCCCTATCTGCCTCCGATGTGATCTCAGACTGTGGTGACAGAGAGCAGGGGGTTGTAGACTTTCTTCCCATCAGCAGACCTGGTCCCATGGGCAAGTAGCTCTTGTATCGTGATCCAGTTGTCCAGGATTCTGCGACTCCGCTTCTTCATGCTCCTGCGGTGGCACAGCTCCAGGATGGATGCGGGTTCCTGCTGCTGTGTCGACCCCTGCTGGCCTCCCCCGCTGCCGCCCTGGTCCCTGTCACGCTCTCTCAAACAGTCGAGGCGGCTCTGCATCATGAACTCCCTGCGGCGCCGCTGCTCTCGGGCCCTCAGCAGCTGCTGCTTGCGCTCCTCTTTGCTCCAGTAACGGCCCATCTTCATCTCACTCACAGCATCATCATCCGTGGTCATGCCACTGCGCTCCTCTCTGATCTTCATGGCGCGTGCCTTCAGGAGGCGATCCCTCACTGGGCGTTTGGCCACATAGCGAGAGCCATCACTGCGGATCTTCACCTTCCACTCCATACGAGGGGATGCAGGCAACAGTGGAGGGGACAAGGGTACAGCACTTGGGTCCTGGACAATGTCTTTACATGTGCTCCCCAAGCTCATTGGGCTGGCGTCGCCCCAAGTCTCCATGCTGCCCTCTCTGGGAGTGTCTCTGAGACCATTAAGGCGCTCAGAGGTGGAAGGAGACCTCAGCTGCATGCAGCTCAGGTAGTGCTGGGGCGGCTTTGTGTCAGTGTGACGGCGGGACAGGTAAGGACTGTTCTCTGCACTGTATCCACCAGCCCTCTCAGCTGTCCCGTTAGCTTTGGGGTTACGTCTCACCTCTCCATCTGAGCCCCGCCTGGTCCCTCTATCCCGAGGCAGAGACCTAACCTTAGCTCCAGGACTGGACGTCTTAGCTTCAGCTCGTCTTCTGTTAGAGTGGGGAGAGTAGGGTTGGTTGAGGTTTGCTTGTGTCCTGTCCCCTCTTTCAGCCCGGCTACCTCTCTGCCTAGTGGAGGTTGGAAACTGTGTACCAGCTTGGAGAAGAGGCTCTCCTCTCTCCAGGCTCTGTGTAGAGGGTGATGGATACTGTTCATTGACCAGAGGGGTGCTCCTGCAACTTTCCCCTCCAGTGTTGTATGCACTTGTACTGTCCTTATCAGAGCGCTCCCTCTCAGGGAGCTCATTGATGTCTGACAGAGCGTGGTGACAGGTCTCCTCGCTGACCAGAGTACCAGTAATGTCCAAGCGTCCTGCTCCAGCCCCTGCACTTGCTCCATTCTTGTCCTCAAGAGGCCAAGCCTTCAGACAACGCTCCCTCAGCTGCTGCATCTTCTGTGCCCTCAAGATGTTACGACACTTGAACTCCAAGTGGCGTAGTTCTTCCTCCAGGAGGGCCATCTCATGCTGCGTCAGGCTTTCATTCCTGTTCACATCCAGTGAGACACCACCTTCCTCTGGTACCGGCCCCTGATCTCCCAGGAGCATCAGAGCATTACTGTTCTTCTCATAGTAACACTTGATTTCCAGGAGCTCTTTGTACCTCTCACACTCTTCCTCAGTCAGCCCAGGCATCATCATCCTCATTGGATCTGCCATGTAGGTCCTCTCCAATCGTTCCATGTGTTCCAGCCCTCCCCCGTTAACACAGTCCAGTCCTAAGAGAGAGTCAGTGCTGAACTGGAGGTCTTGGGAGTGCAGCAAGGGTGGAGTGTCCCCTCGACCAGACAAAAACTTGCGCATGCTGCCAGGTGTATTGGTGGCGTTCGTATTGGAGGCACTAGTGTGGTCATCTCCCAGAAGGTCGTGTTCTGAAGACTCCTCATAGCGTGTGCTTTCATCTGTACGGCCCACCCCACTGTCCAGCTCCTGGCTGTTGCTCAGCACAGTCTGGAGCAAATCAGGTGAATCCCTGTTTATTGAGTGACCATGATTACCAAGTACACTCCCATCAACAAGGTCACCCGGTCCAGCACCCGAGACAGAGGTGCTGTTCTTCAGTCTGTGGCTGCAGGGCAGGTGAACAGCGTTGTCCAGTGGCTCCAGGTCCAGCTCATCTGGGTCCAACTGGTTGTCATTCTGACGGGTGAAGGTGTATCAGGGTGCAAGTTGTTGAATTTAGTTGATGGCATTAAAGTGGAGGTGTAAAGTTGATTGTCGAAGAGACAAACAAAAGAAAAAGGAAAAGTACACATTAGAATATTGTTGTACATCTATGAGTTGTATGAGAGTTTGTCAGTTGTTTGACATAGTTTTGGTGTTGTTTAACACGGCCCCTTATGACTTCAATTCATCAAGAATTTTCTCTGTTTTTGGATTCTTCATTCACCGTGGAGGCATGTGTTATAAACAAAGATTTCTTCACACAAATTCAGCATAACACAGGTCAAGTAGTTTATATAGAAATGGTCATTTGGGGGGGCGAAGTGTTCCTTTAATGTTGAGTGCAGCACCTCTCTGAACTGATTTAAGAGTAGTTCACTTTTTTGACACTAGATGGAGCCAGTGCTGTGTGAGATTTTAACATCTTTCTACCCTGCTGTTACATTTGATTTCCATTGAGTTATGTGTCTACAGAGAAAAACAAACAGTCATACCTCATGTTTAGACTGCAGCTAAATATGAGCTACCTGATAGGAAAGTATTCAGTACTAGAGGATGAAGTGTCCATCCAGAATGATCCGATCGTTAGAGATGAATAACACTTTTATATTTCATAACGTTGTTTTTGATCTGTTTACTTTGCTTGACATCCCCTCAAAAGCTGATCAAATATAATGCAAATGCCTGAGCTTGAATAAGTAAACAATTCAGTCCTCAGAGCGCAGTTGATCTTAGCTAATTGGTTTAATTTGAATGTGAGTTGCGTGCAGACTACAGACAAAAGTATTGATTATCTTCATTCTTATTCTCTGACAGCCCCTTCAGTTCCCTCTCTTCCTCCCTCAAGACAACAGATCAAGCTTTAATCTCTGCTTTTGCATTTCCCTCTGATGATTCTCAGTCCTCCCCTCGCTCACTTGAATGTTAATGTGGGACCATGCCTTAGCAATATAAATCTTGTCAGCCTTTCACAGGTAGTACTTGTGCTCATCTCTCTCTGTACAAGGACACATTTAAACATAGGAGAGGCTATTTATGTGTGCGTGTGTGTTTGACTTTGACCATTTTAATGAGCGGCTTTTAAATCTGCCCTTTAGCTCCTTCTGTACAAATGCAGCCAGCATACAGATTTTTGTCTTCTCACATATACTGCCTCCAGCTGCGGCTTGTTTTTCTTTTTTTGTTTTTTTACAGCCGTATGCAGAGAAAATCCATTTGCTTGTGTCGACATGTGTCAAGTTGTGTGTTTACAAGTCATTTGGCAGAGGTGTGTTATTGAGGGGCATCCAGTGTGCTTTGCAATGTCCCCATATCTGCTACAAGAGTGACCTTGAGGGAAACAAAGAGGTGCCACATTTGCACTGTGAGCACAAGCACTATTTGTCTTTGCCTCTCTCTTCACACTATCTGTGTCCTCATCATGTTTTTGCACCTCTTTGCTTTTCTGCCTCCGTGCAGCTTGCAGGCTACAAAGCAGAGCACCACGCTCTTTCTCGTGTTCCCAGTTTCTTCTCTTTCTGTTCTGAATCTTAGAGCAACACCTTCTTATACACACACATGTAAACTAATTTGAGGGCAATAAAGAGAGAAGAATGCATTTTTTTAAGGCCAGTATTCAGACTGAGCCTTGCAGCGTGCTCCCCCAAGACTGCATATCCAATTTCCTCACCTCTATCTCAGGTCGTGCAAGGAGCAGGGAGACATTAGTGCTGTCCTCTCTGGTGAGAATAGCTACTGCCTCCTCTCTGTCCTGGATGTCCACTCCATTTATCTGAGAGGGAAAGAGGAGAATAATATTGAGCTGATAACGAAAGACCCTTTACACCAAGATTCAATTAAATTTCTCGAGCCAGAAAATGGTTAGGGAAAAAAAAATCTCTCTTTAACTTAATAGCACAAGTAATGACATTCAACCTCTTATGAAAGAATTCAGAAGAAACGCTGCACTATGAGCAATTTCCTTTAATATGTGAGTAAGGCTGGATTAAAATGGACTTGACTCCAGCTCTATTCTGGACCAGGGGTTATCTAAGACTTCAGCTTCATGCATTACATAACTAATAAAAGTAAAAAAAAAAAAAACTGTTGCTGTGAGGAGTTATACAACCCTGTGGTATTGATAGCATCATATAAGGGACTGTTAGTTATGAGAGGGGAGAGGGTGGTGCAAAATGGAGGAGGCACTTTAAATATTTTCTTAAGCACTGGAGAGGGAAATATTTTTTTTTTAATTTGCCTAAGGGGAGGGGCATTCAACTTTACGTGGATGTATTTTGTATATTTTTGGGGGAAAATTTATCACACACCATTTATCATAGTTAAAGAAAATCACGAACAGTGTCAGCTGCAAACGGCAAACTACCAAGTATCATCAGGGTCAATGAAAGCATTGCGGATAGTGACGTTATTCTAAATATGACTAATTTATTTTGAAGCATTCTATCAACATGATACTGTATAATCAAGATCAGTCTCTTGTTTGTCACTGTTTTGACAGGTTTTGGGGTGACTGTAGCTCAGAGGTAGAGGGGGTTTTTGATCCTCGGCTCCTCCGGTCCTTATGTCGAAGTATCCTTGAGCAAGATACTGAAACCCAAACTGCTCCTGATGGCTGCTCCATCAGTGTGTGAGTGTTAAAAACTGAGTAGCAGGTGGCACCTTGTACGGTAGCCTCAGCCACCAGTGTATGAATGTGGGTTCAATGTGACTCTTTGAGTGGTCGTAAGACTAGAAAGGCGCTATACAAGGCAGTCAATTTACCATTTACCATTTGACCAATGCCCTGGTGCTCGCTCACAACTACAGAATGCAAGCACCAGAGCGCAAGCAACGGGATGCTGACTTCAGTGGAGTTAACAACCTCAAACAAGTGTCACTAACAATAAGATTTTCTGAAAGTTACACACAGAATCTTTAAGAAATTAGCTGTTTGTTTTGGCGGTAACTCCCTCCATGCTGTTTGCTTGTTGCATTGGCTCCATACCTACATTTCCTGTGAATATACAGAAATATCACAATATTCATGGTGGAGGGAAGTTCGTGCATTTTCCCCCAGTAAATGAGGGAGGCTCAAGGAGAAATATTTGCAGCTCCGTGAAGGGTCAAGATAAAAAACAACAACAAAAAAACAGACTCCTTCTCTGATAAATAAAGTAATTCCCTAAAGGAATCTAGCCCCACTAAACTATTTAGGAAACCTGTACCTGTAGTATTCTGTCTCCCTTGCGGATACGTCCATCTATTGCTGCGATACTGTTTGGGTTCACCTGTAGGGAAAAAAATGATTTTTTTAGGTGTGTAAAGAAATGTGAAAGATTTATTAAATATCAAATTTTATAGCACTAACCTCTCCTACATATATCCCCAGGTCCTCCTCATCGTCGGTTCTGTAACACACTGTCAGCCCGAGTTTATCCTGCTGACGAGACTTATATAACTCCACCTCCTGAAGCAGTTAGAGAAAAGTTTGAGAATGTCAGACAGAGAGCAGTGGAGCAGCTTTCGGCACGAGTTTAAAGGTCCAGTGTGTAGGATTTAGGGGGGTATACTGGCAGAAATGGACTATTATATAATACGTTTGTTTTCTTTAGTGTATAATCACCTGAAAATAAGGATTGTTGTGTTTTTGTTACCTTAGAATGAGCTGTTTATATTTGCCATGCTGCACCAGAATGTTTCTACAGTAGCCCAGAACAAATTTAACATTTTGGCATCAGCCCAAACTTTTAAATAAACTTTAAATGTCTTTAAATGTTTTTAACGCAAAACTGCTTTATTCAGTGTTTTACCCGTTGAAATCACAGGGTCTGTTTGTTTTGGACAGGAAGAGACCTCTGCAGATAATTAGTCTCCAGTTAAAAACCTCCTGAACAATGATCATTGAAGGAATTCTAACCAGGAGAAGTTTCAGCTAGTTGCAATCTGTGGTCCTCACCACTAGATGCCACTAAATCCCCCTAAATCTTTCTCACTGCTCCTTTAAGTAGCTGAAGGGCTCTCACCTCATATTCCAGCTCATCCTGCCGGTCCACTTCATGCTGAGTGATGTCGAAGTAATCAGTGGGGTCGTAGTATACGGGCTCTATAAAGCTGAGAATGACAAGAATCAGAATATTTCAGTAATTCGAATGTGTGAACAGAATGACATGGACTAGAACCAAGACGGCAGATGAGCTCTGGTCTGACAGTTGGACGTGCTGCAGAGGCCTATTATACGACTCCCACTCACAGTTCGTTGAATAGATACGGCTCCAGTAACGGCGGTAGTGGAGGGGACGGCGGAGGGTCGGGTGGGGGTGGAGCTCCGCAGGGATGCTGGCTGCTCTTGCCGAGAGTCAACATATGCTGGAAGCTGATGTCCGTCTGGGTGCAGCTGTCTACACAGTCGGCCATGCCCATGGTCACTGGCACTAGCCCTCCAGGGGCTCCCGCCAGACCTGCACGTCTGCGGGCCCCCCGCCGCAGTATGTTAGACAGCACGGGGTCCCGTATGTCCAGGGTGGGATCCCCAGAAAGGTGGGATAGCTCCTTTCCATTCACCTGGAAAACACAGTGTGTTGAGATCAAATGGTGCCGGAGCAGGAAGAGGAGAAGAAGAGGAAAAGAGAGGGGGGACAAACTGAGTTAAAGGAGAATTAGTGCAGGGATAAAGAAACCAGGTGTTAAAGGAGGGTTTTATGAAATCTAGTTTTGCTTTCTCTGACACAGAGAAATGCAAAATACACAACAAACAGACAAAGGTTTGGAAAGTGGGCAGCAATCTCTGTTGTGTAATTAACCAGATAGACGCTGGCATGAATAACAGGATGGCAGTGGTGGAAAAAGTACTTCTACTTAAGTACTATACTTAAGTACAATTCTGACGTACTTGTGTTTTACTTTGGTGGCTCCATTTATGCTACTTTATACTTCAGCTCCACTACATTTCAGTGGAAGGTATTGTGCTTTTTTTTTTAGCTCCACTGCATTTATCTGACAGCTAAAGCTACTTTGCAAATTAAAGGCTCTACAAACCCACACAGACGTTTTTTATCACTCTGGCTGATTAAACCTCTGCTCAGGTCTGTGTCAGAGCTTTGCTGGCAAATTACAAGTCACCAAGTGCTCTGTGGCTGAATCTAAGGCTGAATCCAAATGTCTGGACTTCACCACACTTGCAGACTCGCGGACTTTGCGGGCGTGTTCCCGGGAAGTCTGGGAGTGCTGAGGGCTGTCCAAAGCTACAATTCATCCAGTCCACAAGGGGCCTCAAGCGGACATTCTGTAGACTTATGCAGACTTCACTAATTCAATAACTCACAATTAATTTAAATCAAGCGTGACGCTGTGGTTTGTACAACCGACAAAAAAAAGATAAATTGCCAATTAAAATGCTACTTCAGTTGCATAGGCCAGAAATAATATTCAACCACATCATGATACAGAGATATGTAGTATAGTATAAAGTATAGGCTATAGAGGGAAGGGAAATTAATTTGATTATTTCAGAATGAATAATTTAACTATGCGGCTCCGAAAGACTTTCTAAATGTTATCTGGCTGCATGGATCAAATTCTGATAGTGAAAGTCATTTTGTGAAGTTGTGATGCTCAATAATTGTACACACTGATGTACAGACGTCTCTTTTACAATGTAAGTCTATGGGGAAAAGTCTTTGGGCCAGTGGGCATCAGGTGACGGATGTACTTCCACCCTTTGGCCTCTATGAAAATTGGCTTCGAAGAGCAGCATACTTTCCAGGGGCCTGGTCTGCACCCAAAGCGGATTGTCTGGAAGTCTGCCGAAAGTCCGCTTGATGCCCCTTGGTGACTGGATGAATGTGGATTTGGACAGCCCTCAGCACCCGCAGACTCCCTGAGAACGCTCCCTCACAGTCTGTGAGTGGGGATTCAGCCATTTGAGGAAAATGTCAAGCAAGTGAAGCCCTAATTAGGCAAGTGAAATCACCTGCATGGGTGGATTATTGGTGTGCAGAGCCTTTAGGTGAGAGCAGAACTTTTACTTGAAACAAGTGTTTTTTCACTGCTGTATTTCAACTTTTACTTAAATAAAACATATATTTCTACCACTGCAGGAACAGAGGAAGACAGGAGGATGGACAGACCCACATCAGGAGTTGTATCGAACAGGCAAGGTTAGTTCAAAGTAAAACTGCCTCAAGAAAACACAGAGAACAGGAGGGGGAACTACAGCTACACACACCTACAGAAAGAAGAACTGAGGTTATGTTTGTTAATAGAAAAACTAGAAAGATACACTCCAGCCAACATGTAAGTGAATTTAAACTGTCACACGGCTGATAATGTTTCTTCAGGCACACAGAGACCAAAAAAAAAAAAACAGGTTTATATCTAAAAGGTTTCGACACCACATCACACCAAGCAGCAGAGCAGAGAGCTTTATACTGAGACCTTTAATCGACCGGCAGCGTCAAAAGAGCACAACATGTTGTTTATGTGACCCTTCTGTGGAGAGAGGGAAAGAGAGCAAGGAAATGGTGCAGTTAGAAAGTAATTACAACTGTGAACAGTTGGAAAATGGCAAGGTCTTCGTGAAAACTTTTTTTTATAAAGGACCAGAGGTTAAAAAACATATATTTAACAGTAACAGAGATAAAAATGTGTTTCCCTTAGTACATTAGTTTTGTACACTCTGTTCCTCCTCTTCTACAAAACACTGTTATCTTTCTTTTGTCTGAATCAGAGCTGGTTCATCTCTGCAAATATATTTAAACAACAAAACATATTTATATTCTGGAGAAACCGTTTGATTTCCCCCCTCTGTTTTGAGCAAGAAGAGCTTCACTGACAAAATATTCTAATGTAATTTGTGCCGGAGCGTCACGCTTTCAGACATTTTAAATCGCAGAAATGAAACACTTAAAGCTGGCACATACAGTGTGTTTGATATTTCCTCTTCTTTACACAGCTCTCTCTGTCTGCTTGTGGGCTTTGTTAGTTCATTCACACAGTTCTCCCATATACAGTGGCATCACAATATGAGTCCTGACACTCTGGTGTTGTTGAGAGTCAAATCATGTGGTGTATGAAACACCTTCTCTCTCTCCCACCGCGGCTGGTTCACACAGCAAGAAGGAGGGAAAGGGCCATTAATAATGAAAGGTTATTGAAAATAAATCTGCAGGAGGAATCAAAACAGGGATTTGACTTCAGGGTCACTGAACCAAAACATTGCTGGTCAAATCAAGCAGGACTTTACACAAACCTTTAGGAGACAGATTCATTCAGTATTTATACCTGTTTTAAGATACGTTAGCGGTGTAGCTCTGTCTGTTAACCGCTTTAGTCCAGACTCAAATATCTCAACTATTGGATAGTTTGCTATTAAATTTGGTGTAGACATTCATGGTTCCCAGAGGATGAATCCTAACAACTGTGGGGATCCCTTGACCTTCCTGTAGCGCCAGCAGCAGGTCACAATCTAAACTTATCCAGTGAAATGTCTCGACATGAATTACGTGAATTGGCACCAAGTGACAACTTGAGTGTGAGGCTGAAAATGAAGCAAACGCTTAAGTGCCAAAAACTGCAGTTCCTCTAATGGCCACTTGAGGCTGGCTCCAAAAGTAAACCAATCCCAACAGACCTTCATGTTAAAATGCTCAACTTTACAGCAGAAATAAACATATTTACAGCCTGGTACAAAAAGCAGACCTGGACTCTACAGTTAAATTTTGTGTGCATGACAACTGTACAGGAGGTGGATAACTCTTTATGATAAGGGTACAAATCAAATACTTACTAAGCAGTATTTAACCATAGCATGACTAATGATTAACCTATGCATGAATTAATGCAGGATGTATCATGAATTCCTGTTGCTCGTGATTAACAAATGATAAAGTCACAATGACTTCATGTGATTAGTTCACACTCAATAGATCATCAACTAGATGTTAATTCACAGTTACTGTCACTGTTACAGCTGGTGGAGCATATGCTTTTATTTTATATTATCTATCTGTCCATCCATCCATCCCCTCAGAAGCCTGGGAGTTTGAGTATCTTAGCTGTTCCTAGGACTGCACTCTTCTGGACAAAGACCTTAGATTTGTACCTGGAATCGGCTGGAGCCACTCTCCCAGTTTGGGGGTCACAGCCCTGAGTGCTTCGATTACCACTGGCACCACTGTTGCCTTTACAACACACATATTTTCTAGCTCCTGTTTCAGCCCTTGGTGTACTGTACGGATTAAGACTACTAACTTTGACGCAGAAGATCAAGGCATCGCTTCCTGATCAGGTTGGGGCAACATATATCCAGTCTTAGGCAAGGTTCTTAATGTTGCTAGCAAATACAAGAGTCCTACCAGCTCGGATATTGCCCAAGTCAACAAGGTCCGTGTCGGGTGTTGAAAAACCAGGGCAACCTGATAAGAAATGGGCTACTGGAACAAGACATAGATGGACTAGAGCAGAGAACATGAAGCTGTTGGAGATCTATATTAAAGCTACTGTTTTGCTTTCAGAGTGGGCTTGAGCAAATCTTGAAATCAACATGGAGTAACTGTGAATTAACATTTCTTAGCTAATGATTTATAAAGTGTGAACCTGGATTAATTCATGCATATAATCATCACGACTCATCAGTTAAACATTCATATTTAGTTAAACACTTAAGTATCTGATTTGTACACTCAGTATAAAGTGTTACAGGGGGGTGCATTTTTATTTAAATGTTATCAAGGCTTCAAGTTAGGCATAATTTAGGGCACAACTGCTTTGAGTAACTGGCTGCCTGATGATTGCGTTCTCAGGTTCTTAGTCAGACCGACCTTTCGCTCCTCCACAGCGTCACCCTCTTGTCCAAAAATGGTCACTTCAGGCTCCAAAAATCCAAGATGGCGACAGGCAAAATGCCAAACTGAAGCCCAGAAACCAATGAGTGACGTCACAGTGGCTGTGTCCATTGTTTTTATAATGTCTATGATTGCTGCCAATATTTATTTTTGCAAACGTTCATAAGGTGTAATGAGAGCAGGTCAAAATTGTAATATGTTTATAAGCATTATACCTTTGGCTCAAAGCACTGCTCAGCCCCTCAGAGCTGCGTGGCTGTCCACTGTTGGATCAAATTTAATAGAAACATTTAACACATTTTCAATTGAGCTCATAAAGACAAATCCTCCTGATGTCATTACAGGAGACAGACAGCAACATGATGATGTTCGCAGGCGGTTACTGAGCCAGACAGCCTTTGTAAAGTGTCATTCATGCTGCACTCAGTCAGCGACCTTGGCTGTCTGCGACTCTCCACATCTTTACCGCCCTGCTTCATTCTCCCACTCCCTCTCTCTTCTCTTGTCCCCTTCCAGTAATTGCATGTCAAATCAATGTTCCCCTGTGCAGCCAAGCACAAAAACTTTCTTGCCACATTCAGCCCCTGCTCCCTTTGGTTCTCTCTCATAGCCGCCACACCGCCACCGCCACCGCCCCTCTGGTCTATCTTTCCTGCTTTGCCATTGTGTCTCCGTGCCTGCAGTCATTCTCCTTTCTGTTCTCTTTCTCCCATATCCTGCTTCTTCTCTGCCCTGTTTTCTTACGCCATGCTGCCTCAGCAGTTCTGTCTTCTCTGTCCCTTCCCCAGAGATGATAACCCACCCTCCCACTCCTCTATTTTCATCTATTGCAGCCGGGTCCATCTCCTAGTGTGTGTTTGTCCTTCCTCACACTAATGTTCCTTCATAAATCTTGCTGTCTCTCCTAATGAGCCTCTTCACTTGGAGACAAATAAGATGCTTCCTCCCTACATGGCCTATTGGTGATAAAGGAATTAATACTCTGTGGTTTTTTATGTTAGATTAGAGGAAAAACGCACCTTAACATCGCTCACCAACGTGCATTTTTATTTCTGCTCTCACCTCATTATTTTTTTTGGTTGGACTGCAGCATGTGAGGCCAGTCCTATAAATATGAAGGCCTGAGTAGGTGATGGTCAGAGTGAGAGATGACCTAAGTGTGTACATTGGCCGTAGCTCTTTTGAAATTAATAGGCAATGAAAGTCCTGTACTAATGCATTTCTCATTTTCTGTACCTCTGATAGCATGGTGAAATTAGCAAGCTAGCTAAAAAACTAATTGAGGGTGTGTGCAGAAATACTCAATCTTGCATAACAAACTGGATCGTTCGTTAATTTGGAGAGCTTTTGGTGCTAGCTAGCTTGTTTGTCTCATTTTCTGTAACCACTGTAACGTTAGCATAAAAGCATGGTGGAATTAGCAAGCTAGCTAGCTAGGTAGGTATCAAAGTATCATGAACGCTTGTTTGCTACAGAGTGTATTTTCTGCAGTAATCCAAAAAAGGAAAAAAAAAAAATAAACATATGCTTTTTGGCAAGGAAACTAGGGCGACGCTAACTTCTGCGTCAGGAAACATCATCCCTGGGGCACTCTGTACAGTGATTATTGCAGAAAATAAGCTGGCAAACAGACATTTATGACACTTACACATTTTGTTCATCAAGATAATCTTTACAAATTAACACCACTTTTTGGATTTTTGAAATTCAAATGCAATCATCAGAAATAAAAAGCTAACGTTAGGCTATAAACAAACTACACCATGGGTGCATGACCTAAAATCCCAAATATAACGAGTCTCATTTAGCCACTTGTTAGCGACCGCCTTTTTTGAAGACATGTAAAAGCTTCAAAATTCGTGGGTAGGGTATTAACTGACGTATTTTATGTTGTAGAACAAAATGTGAAAGTCTGTTAAGCTTTTAAACAGACCTTATTTCAGGCATCTAACAAAAAACCCAAAACTCAATGACTTCTAGACGAGGAAACCGGGAATGCTAAAATGCAAAAACATTTCCAGGTTTTAGGGCTCATTCTTGGGGCACCCTATAAGCATGGTGGAATTAGCTCTCTAACTAGCCAGCCATGGTCGAAATGGCAGTTTTGGACTGAGGAAAGAAAGGATCGACTCGTCAGTTTGTCTGAGGAACAGCTTTGTCTGTATGACACAAACCTCAAATTTATGAGTAATATTATTCACTTCCGAACAGGTGCTGCCACCATTATGAGAAGAAAATGGAAATAAGATGTTGGAATAAGTGGTGCCACCTCAGTACAAACCTGTAACTAGAGTTCAACCAGTTAATCAGTTTGGCCGAATAATCAGCGGCCAGAGGACATTATAAAAATGATTGTAGCGGCAGAACTTGGCTCTGATCAAGGCCAAAAGTTGTGTTAAATGATCAGTGGGTACAGCTTCAGAGAAAGCAGGTCCCTCTGCTGTGTGAGTGTGTCTAAGTGTACTGTTCTTTGTTTTAACATGGATTTACATGGATTTTTGGGCTGGACCACAAACAGTGGGGTAAACTTTGTGACTGAGTGACCCAGTGATGGCAGCCAGAATTGGACCAGCTGATTTGGCCCGATTCTGAGGCATCATTCATACCGAGTCTCAGCCCAGTCAGGCAACCGGACGCGGCCCGCCT